TTAGACACAGTATCCAGTCCAAGTCGTTTCATGTTGTTGGCGCAAGTCATGGCCATGACAGGACAGGCTGCAGGAAGTGTCTGTGCATATGCCAATGATGGCATAAGGTTCTCTGTGCAGTGACATTATCATCTGCATATACACCGCTGTCAGGGATCCAAGGACGAGAGGCAGAAACCAGGGCCTGGATGGAGCAGGGACAAAGCTCTGCCTTGGGAGTGGGAGAGGAGGGGGGCCCCGCTCTGGCAGGAAGTGGAGCTAGTTTATCCAACTTCTTGTATAAAAACAATTATTGAAGAATTTGAAGAACTTTTCTAAATGTGCATTTGCATGGCGTCATCTTTGAGACTAGCAGCAGCTCTAATGACATTGGCTTTCTCCTTGCACATTCCCTCCTTTTGCACTGCTTATGTGTGGTGTTTAGAGGAATCACAGCCCTTTTAAATACACAGAGCTGAGCACATGCTCAGCAACAGGAGCAATCGCCCCCACCTCCAGCAGCTTTATTTAAAGTGTTCATCAAATACTTTCCATTTGCTTGTTGATTGATCTCTAATGGTGTTGACTGAGTTTGTACAGTACAAATTTGTAGTGCTATTTAAAGTGGGTGAAGTTGACAGGGAGTGGTGTGTAAAGTGTGTAAAGTCCTGGCCAGACTACTTGCTCCAAGTTATAGAGCCAGAATCAGACAGCATGGAAACAGACCCTGTGGCCCAGCTAGTCCATGCTGACCATGTTGTCAAATTGGTCCTACCTGGCTGCGTTTGGTACATATCCCTCCAAACCTGTCCTATTCATGAACTTATTCAAATGTCTTTTAAATGTTGTAACTGTACCTGCATCCACCACTTTCTTTGGCAGTTCATTCCACACACGAACCACTCCCTGTGTAACAAAAAAAAAGTTGCGCGCAATGTCATTTAAAAATTTTTGTCCTCTCGCCTTAAAAATAAGCCCTCTAGTTTTGAACTCCCACACCCTAGAGTAAAGACTCTAGTCATTCACCTTGTCAATGCCTGTCATGATTTTATAAACCTCAATAAGGTCACCCCTTAACCTCCTACTCTACAGGGAAAAAAGTCCTAGTCTTTCCAGTCTATTTTTATATCTCAAACCCTCCATTCCTGGCAACAACCTGGTAAATCTTTCCTGAGCCCTCTCCAGTTTAATAATATCCTTCCCATAACAAGGCGACCAGAACTGCGTACAGTACTCTAGAAGAGGCCTCAACAATGTCCTGTACAGCCTCAACATGACATTCCAACTCCTTTACTCAAAAAGTCTGAGCAATAAAGGCAAGCATGCTAAATGCATTTTAACTACACTGTCTACATGTGATGCAAATTCCAAAGAATTATTTACCTGAACCCCTAGGTCTCTCTGTTCTACAACACTACCCAGGGCCATACCGTTGATTGTGTAAGTCCTGTGCTTGTTTGTATTACCAAAATGCAATACCTTGCATTTATCAAATTAAACTCCATCGCCCACTCCTCAGCCCATTGACCCAATTGATCAAGATCTCTTTGTAATCTTAGATAACTTTTTCACTGCCCACTATACCACCAATTTGGGTGTCATCTGCGAACTTACTAACCGTGCCTCCGATATTCTTATCCAAATCATTTCTATAAATGACAAATGAAAGTGGACTCAGCACTGATCCCTGTGGAACATCGCTGGTCACAGGCCTCCAGTTTGAAAAGCAACCCTCCACCACCACCCTCTGCCTCCAATCACAAAGCCGAGTTATGGATGCCTGTATGATTATGCCCCATGGTCTGCAGCCTGATGGGGAGATTGAGGAGAGGAAGACGAGCTGTTCACAGAGGGAGGACCAGGAAAGGGAGAAGGGCACTCAGCAGGTGACCATATACTCTCAGGGTCTTCGGGTAGGGTCTTAACTCAGCTTAAAGTGTTTGACTATATTTTATGATGGAGGTATTCATTTAAATCTTCCTGATGTAGACAATAGAGGATGGCATTGCCAGTGGCCGTAAACCTTGCCCGTGGCTGTGTATTTCTTTGCATTGGAATTCTTCCAGTCTGCAGTAATGTTGATGTGTGTCATTTGCCTGTTTGCTGCCCACTGCTGTGTAAGATGGGTGGTTGATGATGCTTGTGTCAAGAGGGGAAATACATCATCAGCTTCTCTCTGGTCAGAGACAGAATGTAGAAAGTATACATGTGCTCCACCAGGAAGATGGGCATTACTAGGGTGGAGGGCGCATTGACTGTACACATATTGCTTTGCAAGCTCTGTGTTTAAGAGCGGAAATATATCATTCCCTGAGGGTGCAATTGGTTTAATACTGTACTCAGCATATCAGGCAGCTGAATGCCCAGTATTCTGTCAGCAGTCATAATGCCTTTGTTCTGGGGTAGTTTGCTGTTCTATTAACATTTCCTGCACCATGTTGTCCGAGAGGGTGGTTTTATGGTGATGGGTACTATCTGACTGATGATCGCAATGCACAACAGAGACACATGTGAGCAGCATGCTTATAATGAGAACTAGATAGCTATAAAAAACAAACCACAGGGGTACTCAAAAAGCAATTCTGCACCAAAGCAGTCCTGAGTAGTTCCCAGAATATGTATTTCAGTTATTTATGCTCTCTTTCATTCTGTATTTACTGGGTATGTCATCATTTCATCCAACTCAAATGCCAATAAACACAGGATGCTTGGCTTTGGATTGAACCACCTTAGCTTGGGTAGCAGTAGCTTGGCCAACAACTTATTTGCTGGTGGAGAGACAGTGGTGGGAGGCAAATGCTATCATTTCTGAGACAGCATTGCAGGTTTATGTACTGAGGTGCTATTGCTACTTCCCAGGGCTGGATCCTCAGCCATCCTAATATTCTGTTGAGGGACAGGTTTCTGAATTCTGAGACTCTGCAAGCCCTTGGGCATTGGTATGCACAGCCATGAAGGCAGCTGTTTAAGATTGCACAACCTCATTTTGAGCTTTCACTGCAGTATTAAGATGGTGAATAACCTCTGTGTGTACTGCATTAAAAGCTGAGACATCAACAATTGAGTGCTGCATCATGGTTGGATCCACAAGTATGGCAATGGGATTGGTCCACACTTTGATATAAGGAAGCATGGGCCCCAACCTTTGACCAAGGAGCTGTGGTATAGTGGTGCTAAACTCCTCCATGCTTCTTAGCAATCGCAGCAGACTGGTCAATTCACCAAGCATTTAAATGTGCATGTCCATGAGACTTTTTCTGTACTCCCCTATACAACTCCTTATCTCTCACCTGGAGCAGGATCTGTGTGCCTTCCAGGGAGGTCACAAGGGCATTACAGCTTACCACTTGAGAATCTGGGCTCAATTCTAACCTGCTAATGTCAGTTTCTGAGCTTCTAGATACATGTGAACCCAAGCAACTGTGTCAAATTGTCATTGATCCTTTGGTCTTTCTGCTCCTTTGCACTGCCTGACCAGGTGGTATCCAAAAGGAGAAAGGCACAAGGATAGGTGGGTGGCAAGAGACCTAGGGGATGGGGATGGAAGAAGGAACTGCATGTGTACACATTCTGCAGTGTGTAAATCAGAGGATATTGTGGGATGAGAGGTGAGTGGCCTGTGAGGAGATGAGTTAGATAGGACTGTCCAGTTAGCTGTGATTTCATCCCTGCTACTGACCACTATCTCAATCCTGACCCTCCAATAATGGTCTCCTTCATCAAGGTGAGGACGTACCCCCGTGATCCCTGCCATTCAGGTGTAGTTGTTTACACCAGTTTGGTTCTTAAAGAGGCAAGTATGTCAGTCAGAGTCCTTCCATCTATGCGAAAAAATCCGTTGGCAATGGGATAGTTTCATGGTGCATTTTTATTGATGGCTGAAGAAACCATCTGCACAAATGGTTATCAGCTATCATTGTGGGTGTTTCTTTTTATAACTATTACCAAGTTGCTGTAGCTACTGGTCATCATGGTGGTGTATGTTGGCCTCAGGTGATGTCACTATTTCCCTCTGTTACTGGCTAGTGTCTCCCGGCTCTGACAATTGATGGTGTTTAGGGTCATCATGTTACACTTGCAAACGTTTTTGTGGATGTACGTGTCAGGAAAGGATTAATAGGCTGGGTCTCTTTTCTGTTGAAAAACATGGGCAGACCTAATAAAATAGGCCTTTAAAATTAGGAAACGTTTTGACAGAAGGTATGCAGAGGGAATGATTTCTCTTGTCAGCAAGAGCATAACTAGAAGCTATAAGTGTAGTTACCAAACAACCTGACCGATAATTCAGAAAACACTCCCTTAACCTGAGAATGATGACAATGAGGAACTGCATTCAGCTACTCCCTGCGGTAGTGAATAATGCAGATGCATTTAAGAGAAAGTTAGACAAGCATTTGAGGGAGAAAGGAGTAGAGGGTTATGTTGGTATATTTAAATGAGGGATGACGTTATGAAGCTCAAGTGGCATTTAAACATCCCCATGGACAGTTTGGTCTGAATGGATTATTTCACTGATATATTCCAAGTATTTAATCCTGAGTACTACAATGTTCTCGAATATGCTAACCACTAAATCATACTTTGCTAATTGAATTTCTGATCAGTTCAAAAAATAGTAATAGACCATTTTGTTGGTTATATGATCTCAATTCTCATATTCACTCTCTGTACCTAATTTAAAGTTTTTAAATGTTTGTTGGCAAATGGGAAGACTGAAAGATTGTTGTGTTTTTCTTCCTGAATTATTGTCACCAACCTTATTTGAAGGATATAGTTCCAAACTATCTTAATGGAGCAGGAAAATTAACACTTTGGGAGTTTTATATCTTGTTTAGTTTTCCAAGAAGAAGTCAACCTTTATCCTGAATCCTGATGAAGGGTCCAAACCCGAAATGTTGACTTTTCTGCTTCTCTGATTCTGCTTGGCCTGCTGTGTTCCTCTAGCTCCACACTGTATCGACTCTGACTTCCAGCATGTGCAGTTTTTACTATCTCCTTTACACCTCTCCTTTGTTTCACAGATACTGTCACTTGGATGGTGATCCCAGGGAAGTTTCACCGGTTATTGATCAGTTTTTTGACTGTGTCTGGCAGCTGATGGAGCAATTTCCATGTGCCTTTGAGTTCAATGAAAGATTTCTGGTGCACATTCATCATCATGTCTACTCTTGCCAATTTGGCAACTTTATTTGTAACAACAATAAGGAGAGCAAAGAACTAAGGTAAAGCAAAATTCTAAACATGCATGGTTCACCATTGTACTAATAATCAAGTAGAGTCATAGTCATAGGGATATACAGCACAGAAACAGACCCTTCGGTCCAACTTGCCCAAGCTGACCAGATATCCTATAAAAATCTACTCCCATTTGCCAGCATTTGGCCCATATCCCTCTAAACCATTCCTAACCATATACCCATCCAGATGCTTCTTAAATGTTGTAATCATACAAGCCTCCATCATGTCCTCTGGCAGCTCAGTCCATATTCACTTCCCACATGTGACCACTGCCTTTGTCTCCCATCCTCTTTTTATTTAAAAGTGCCGTTTTGATTTTGTTTCCCAAAGTTCCAAAAACAATACAACATCTTATGACACAGTAATTACTGCTCCTGGAATTCGAGGAGAATGAGCTCCGACACTGAAAATGCCTAAAAAAAGGAGCAGCTCTTACAGCCACGAATTTTTCCTGCCCTCCATCTTGGATTACCCAGAATCCTTTTTAAGTTTGAGATTTTTATGTAGATTCAGTTGTTCAAACCAAAGGTACAATTTATTTTTTTGACCAGCTAAGACAGGGAGGCTGATTTTATTTTTGAGGGAATTGTGGTGTTAAGTTGCAAAGTTGGGTGGTGTGGTTGGCTTTGTGGAAGAGGCCTGATTTGGGACAAAGTTAACCTGAACTAATTTCCTTATTATTGCTTTCCGAATTTATGGAAGTAGTTTACAACCAAAAGATTTTTGTTTTAAAATTCGTTCACTATTCTTATGTAGACAAATTTATGGGGTATTTTGTGTACAGGAAGGCTCCACAAGCTGAGAGAGGAATGGTGTTCACAGAGAGGATTCCCTACCCCTTTAAACTTTGCATCTTGGTGTTTTTTTTTATAATCTCTCGTAGCTGTAGAAGAGGCTTGGTAGAAAAAAAAATCAGAGCACAACCACCAAGAGTGAGTTGAGCAGCTGAAGGTAGCCAAGGGAGCAACAATGCTCAGATGATAGGATAGTGTACAGAGGAGAGAGACTGGGTTGAACTTCTACTTGTTCCCATTAGTTATACCAGCATTTGGAGCAGTATTGGTTGAACTAGTGCAAAAGATTCATTTGTTTAAATCTGCATTATGCAGGAAAGCAGTTATGCTTGTGTTTTCCTTCACCTAATACATTGCTTTAGATTCAGTTCACCCAAATTTAGGCCTCTACCCACTCGTTTCCTCCCCCCCACACCCCTCTCTCCACCCCCCGCACAAAAAGTCAAAATTGTGTGCATCCATTAATTTGAATGATTCAGGATGGTTCTTCAAATTGGGTTCATCTTCTTTGGTGCACAGACACAAGTTGGCTTGCTTCATAAGTTTTTCATTTCAACTTTAATTTATTAAGAAAATGACATGCGTAGCAATAAACTATAAAAATTTTCTCTGACTTCCATTGAATTTTTAAAAAAAACTATTCACAGGTTAAAGGTGTTTATTAAAAATACATACTTTTGTTGATTAGTTCATTAATAGAGTTGCATCAGATTTGAGCTCTTAAATGCATCAAGGAATGTGTATTAATGAGAAAGGAAAATGAAGCAATTATTCTGTTCTTTCTTTATTGTTTGATTGTGTTTATTCATGGAAAATTTTAATTTGTACTTATGCAAAAACATCTGTTTAGTGGAAATTTGAACCCTAACCTAATCAGTGCAATTTGAGGTACATTTTAGGTGCAGTTCTATATTATGCACAAAATGGCGGTTTATCACACTGCCTTTTTATAGTGTTCGACAACTCATTCAATTGGACTCAAACTCACTGGTTATTTTGTAACAGTGAGCAGACAGAAATTGCGCTGAGTGCTGTTATTTTTAATTTACTCTATTTTGTGTGTTTATCCAATGCCGAATAACATTTATGATTCCAGACAGACTTCGTCTCACCCTGTATTAATTTGAGTCTGAATTTGGTAAAGCTATGAACAGACTTTTTAGAAAATACCCACTCCAATTGTAGGAAGATTTTTAAAAAAGAAATCTGTAGCTCCCTCTAGCGGCCATAAATTTTACTATGGAAAGGTCCACTTTGCCAGTTAATATTTATGGGGACAGACTGGACTATGGTTAGTCCAGCATCGGTTGGAATTGTGCCTTGTGACCCTGGGAAATGTAGCAAACTCTGAAGGAACTGCCCAGGAAATTGAATTTTCTGCTGGGTAATTCCTTTACACTGGCACCCTCTGAAAGTCTCCATTCAATCAAAGGCTTAGAATCATTGAATTGTACAGTGCAGAAGAAATCTTTCAGCCTACTAAGCCTGTACTTCCTAAGTTACTTGAAACCTAAACTAGACCCGCCTTCCAGCGTTAAATGTTATGACATTCCAAGTGTTTATCCAAGTACTTTTTAAAGGTTCTGAGGTTTCCTGCCTCCAGTACCCTCCCAGGCAGTGCATTCCAGATCCCCAGCCTCTGTATGAAAAGGTTATTCCTCAAATCTCTGCCTTGTATCTTAAAATTATGCCACCTTATTGACCCTTTGACTAAGGGTAACATCTGCTTTCTATTCACCCTATCCAGTACCTCGAATGATCTTATACACCTGTCAGGTTCCATTTCAATCTTCTCTGCTCCAAAGAAAACAACGTGAGCTCATACAGTCTCTCTTCCTAGCTAAAGTGCTCTATCACAGGCAACATCCTTGTGAATCTCCTTTGCACAGTACTCCAGCTGTGGCCTAACCAAAGTCCCATACAGTCAACACAATCACAAGCCATTTCCTGGAATTTGTCACTGAAGGACTGCTCATAGGTGTAAAGCCTTAACTCTTTTTTTTCTTATTTCTTTCATGGGAAGCAGGCATCACTGGCCAGCCACCATTTATTGCTTATGCCTAGTTGCCCTTGCGAAGGTAGTGGTGAGCTGCGTTCTTAAACACTTCATTCTGACAGGCATGAGTTGATCCATAATGCCATTTGGGAGGGAATTCCAGGATTTTGACCCAGCAACAGTGAAGGAATGACAATACATTTCCAAGTCAGGGTGCTGAGTGGCTTGGAGGGGAACTTGAAGGTTCCCATGTTTCTGCTGACTTTATCCTTCTAGATGGAAGTAGTTGTGGGTTTGGAAGGTGCTGTCTGAGTATCTTTGGTGAATTTCCGCAGTGCACCTTGTAGATAGAAGCAGCAATGTGTACTGAGCATAGATGTTTGTGAATGTGGTGCAAATCAGTTGGGCTGCTTTGTCTTGGACGGTATCAAGCTTCTTGTGTGTTGTTGGGGCTGCACCCATCTAGGCAAGTGAGGAGTATTCCATCACACTCCTGACTTGTGCCCTGTAAATGATGGACAGGTTTTGGGAAGTCAGGAGGTGTGTTACTCGCCGCAGTATTCCTAGCCTGTGACATGCTCTTGGAGCCACTGTGTTTGTATGACAAGTCCAGTTGAGTTTCTGATCAATGGTAACCCCAATCATGTCGGTAGTGTGGGATTCAGTGATGTTAACACCATTAACTACCAAAGGGTGGTGATTAGATTGTCTCTTACTAGAGATGGCCATTGCCTGGCATTTGTGTGGCACAAACATTACTTACTACTTGTCAACCCAAGCTTGGATATTGCCCAGATCTTGTTGCATTTGAAGATGGACTTCTTCAGTGTCAGAGAAGTTGCAAATGGTGCTGAACATTGTGCAATCGTTGGTGAACATCTCCACTCAGAAGTCCTTATGAAGCAAGAAGGACCATTAATGAAGCAGCTAAAGATGTTTGAGCTTAGGACACTATTCAGAAGAATCCTACACAAATGTCCTGGAGCTGAAGTGACTGACCTCCAGCAACCATAATCATCTTCCTTTGTGCCAGACATGATACTAAACAGTAGGGAGTTTGCCCCCTGATATCCATTGATTCCAGTTTTGCTAGGGCTCCTTGATGCCACACCTTGTTGACTGCGGTCTTGATACCAAGGGCTGTCACTCTCACCTCACCTCTGGAATTTGGCACTTTTGACCATGTTTGAACCAAGGCTGTAATGAAGTCGGGAGCATGATGGCTCTGGCAGATCTCAAACTGGGCATCATAGAGCAGGCACTGTTTTATTGCACTGTTAATGATACCTTTCATACACTTTACTGATGATCGAGAGTAGACTGATGAGGCAGTAATTGACCGGGTTGGATTTCTCCTGCTTTTTATATATAGGACATAGTTGAGCAATTTTCCACATTGTCGGGTAGATGCCAGTGTTGTAACTGCCCTGGAACAGCTTGGCTAAGGGAATGGCAAGTTCTGGAGCATAAGTCTTCAGTACTATTGCCAAATGTTGTCAGGGCCCAAAGCCTTTGCAGTATCCAGTGTCTCCAACCGTTTCTTGATATCACGTGGAGTGAATCAAATTGGTTAAGGACTGGTCTCTGTAATGCTGGGGACCACTGGAGAAGGCCAAGATGGATCATCCACTCGGCACTTCTAGCTGAAGATTGCTGCAAATGCTTCAGCCTTATGTTTTGCAATGATGAGCTGGGCTCTTCCATCATTGAGGATGGAGATATTTGTGGAGCCTCCTCCTCCAGTGAGTTATTCACAACTGGATGTGGCAGGACTGCAGAGCTTAAATTGGATTCGTTGATTGTGGAATCGCTTTGCCCTGTTTATTACTTGCTGCTTTCACTGTTTGGCATGCAAGTAGTCCTGTTTGGTGGTTTCACCAGGTTGATACCTCATTTTCAGGTATGCCTGGTGCTGCTTCCAGCATGCCCTCCTGCAACTTCCATTGAACTAGGGTGGATCCTCTGGCTTGATGGTAATGGTTGAGTTGGGGATATACTGGGCCATGAGGTTACAGATTGTGTTGGTGTACAGTTCTGCTGTTGACGGCCCACAGTACTTAATGGATGCCCAGTCTTGAGTTGCAGGATCTGTTCGAAGTCTGTCCCAATTAGCACAGTGATAGCGCCACACGGCACGCAGTGTATTTTCAAGATGAAGGTGGGACTTTTTCTGCACAAGGTCACACTGGTCACTCCTACCAATACTGCAGCTGGCATATTGGCAAGGATGAGGTAAAGTGTGCTTTTTCCCTCTTGTTGGTTCCCTCACCAAGTGCTGCAGACTCAGTCTAGCAGCAATGTCCACCCGAACAGCTTGATCAGTCGTGCTGCTGCCGAGCCACTCTTGGTGGTGGACAGTGAAATCTCCCACCCAGAGTACATTTTGTGCAATTGCCACCCTCTTTACTTGCTCTAAGTGTTGTTCAACATTGAGGAGTACTGATTTATCAGCCAAGAGGGGGTGGTACATGGTAATCAGCAGGAGGTTTCCTTGCCCATGTTTAACCTGAAGACATGAGACTATAATGGGTCAGGAGTCAATGTTGAGGACTCCCGGGGCAACTCCCTCCTGAGTGTTTAGCACTGTGCCACCAACTCTGCTGGGTCTGTCCTGCTGGTGGGACAGGACCAATCCAGGGATGGTGATGGTGGTGTTTGGGACATTTACCTGCAATGTGTGCATGACTATGTCAGGCTGTTGTTTGACTATTCTCTGAGACAGCTCTCCCAATTTTGGCACTAGACCTCAGGATGTTTGTAAGGAGGACTTTGCAGGGTCAACAGGGCTGTTTATGCCATTGTCTTTTCTGGTGCTTAGGTTGATTCCAGCTGGTCCTACCAGTTTCATTTCTTTGTTGAGATCTCGTAGTGATTGCTACAACTGAGTGGCTTGCTAGACCGTTTCAGAGGACAGTTGAAAGTTGATCACATTGTTGTGCATGTGAAGTCACATGTCGACCAGACCAGGTGAGGATGGCAGATTTCCTTCCCTGAAGGACATTAGTGAGCCAGATGGATTTTTTTTGACAATCACAATGGTTTCATGGTCATCATTAGACTCTAAATTCCTGATTTTGTTTATATTGAATTCAAATTCCACATCTGCTGTGGCAGGATTTGAACTTGGGTCCCCAGAACATTAGCGGAGTTTCTGGATTAACAGTCTTGTGATGATACCACTGGGCCATTACCCCCATATGATAAAACTGATGCCGGTCAGATGCTTGGACCTTCCATCAGAATCAAAATGTCTCATTTTTCAACCATGTGTGGAGTAGCTAGAAGCGTATTTACATGGATTATCACTCATTATCATCCTCATTACTATCTAATATTGCCTCATAAATATGCAATTTCTCAGTTTCTCCCTCCTGCTGGCTAGAACCTAGATGCTGAGAACTCCTGACATGAAAATCAGACCAGTCACCTGGTAACTCCAGCTCACTGATTGCTCCTCCAGACCTCCATTTGGACACCAGCATCTCAGGGCATACCCATTGAGCACTAACCACACACACCCCATGTCCCTGAATCTTGGCATCCATCACATTCCAACCTCACTGCAACATCATGGTATATCGCTGACCAGTATACAGTCTACCAGAAGCCAAAAATGCAAAATGGACGATCCATCTTGGCCCCTTCCAGCGTCCACAGCATCACAGGTATCAGTCTTTAGTCAACTCAGTTCACTCCAGATGATACCAAGAAACGGTTGGAGGCACTGGATACCGTTAGGTCTGTGGGCCCTGAAGCATTCTGGCAGTGGTACTGAAGACTTGTGTTCCAGAACTTGCTGCTCTCTTAGTCAAGCTGTTCCAGTACAATTACAACACTGGCATCTACCATCCACTGTGGATATGGTGTTGGTGCCAGAGGTCCTGGGATATACCAGCAGTAAAGAGTACTTCCATTTATGGTGAGTGGGAGAATTGGGCAAGCATTAGATGAGCGGGATGCCTAGGGGTGTGATACCTGGCTAATGAGCAAGTTTGGGACAATGTTGAGAGAAAATTCACTAGCCTTCACAGACAGAAACCCTCCATGACATGTGGCAAAAATGACAGCCGATATACGGTAAGGTCTAGCCCTTTGTGTCCTCTTTGACAAGTTACTTTCCTGCCTATCTTTGTGCTGTCAGCAAACTTATTAACCATACATTCAATCTCCTATTCCAGATCATTTTGTAAAGTTTGTAAATGGTTCTCTTGCCTGGAACCTTAAATCTGTGTTCCCAAATCCTAGTATAATCTGCTAATGGAAGAATTTTTCTTTGTCTACCTTATCTAAGCCTGTCATAATCTTGTATACGTCAATAAAATTATCCCTCAACCTCCTTTTTTCTAAGGTGAAGAACACCAACTTTACCAACCTAATTTTCTAACTAAAATTCCCTATCCTTGCAACTACTCTGGTATATCTCCTCTTTCAAGACCTGTTCTGTTTTGCATCCACTTTCTTCCAGTGTCTTGACTTTTGACCTTCATGCACATATTTTTGTCTCTCCTCCTAATAATTTAGCTGCAAGGAGAATCTGTATACGAAAACTAGGTATTTTAATAACAGCTGCGTCATGGATCACCAACAATTTGGCACAATCATCCTTCACACAGCTGTTGCACTTAGATTATTTTATATTTTCTGATCAAGTTTTCCAACCATCCACCAAGTGGTTGAAGTGTTTAATATTGTTATAATTGTTTCTCATGGCAGAATTCAAGAGAAAACTCATTCACTATGGCCTCATCTATGGAAAAATGGTATCGATTATAAGAATCCCCTCTACAGACAAGACCATAGTCAGACTCAGGGAGTTCTGAGACCGCACACAGCTCCATCTAACTTCAGGTTAGTATATTGGCTATATATTTAATTAGGCCATACCTCATTATAGCCTTACAACACCTGAAATATGGGCAAACAAGAAACAAAGAACTTGCTTTTATCAGCAAACGTTTTATTAACTGGCAGAATTCTGGTTGTCAATGTAAAAACACATTAATTAATAGAAACTTAATGTAAGCATAGACACATCACTATTATACTTTATTTACAGCATATTATCGCTTTAACAACCATGCAACTTTGCCTTAAACAAAACTTACTGGTAGAGAGCCTTCTCACTTGCACCTTCAACTATTTGGACATCGTAGAGATCGTGATAATACAGTAAACTTCCAGTATTTCAGGTATTTCATCAGAAATTTCTGATGAAGGGTCTAGGCCCGAAACGTCAGCCTTTCTGCTCCTATGATGCTGCTTGGCCTGCTGTGTTCATCCAGCTCTGCACCTTGTTGTCTCAGTATTTCAGGTATATAATTTTTGCCTGTTTATCGAGAGTGCCAGTTCATAAAGTGCCAGTTAAAACAAACTTTACTGCCATTCATGCTCTCAGATCATTCTAAAGCACTTTATAGTTCATTAATTAATTTTGAATTGCAGTGACATGTTTAAGCTAAAAGTAAAACAGTATGGTGGCTCAGTGGTTAAAACTGCTGCCTCGCAGCACCAGGGACCCAGGTTCAATTCCAGCCTATGTGGAGTTTACACATTATCCCTGTGTCTGCGTGTTTCCTCCAGGTGCTCTGGTTTCCTCCCGCAGTCCAAAGATGTGCAGGTTAGGTGGATTGGCTATGCTAAATTGCCCATAGTGTATAGGAATGTGTAGGTTAGGTGGATTAGCCATGGGAACTGCAGGGACGTGGTAGGGGCTGAGTCTACCATAACCAACGACTCATTGGATGGGATGCTGTTCAGAGAGCTGGTGTGGACTTGTTGGGCTGACACTGTAGGGATTCTATGACGTAGAAGACAGTTTGCTTTGAACAACAATATGATGAATGACCACTTTAATAATGTTGGGTGAAGAATAAATGCTCGCCAAGAACAAAATTGTGTGCTGCCAACCAAATGGTGTTGTGGGATCTTTTATCCTCACCCTAGAGGAAAGTTTCGTCCTATATTAAATGTTTCATTCAGAAGATGGCACTTCTGCTAATATTGGACTGAAGTGTCAGCTTTGATTGCTTGTTTAAGTTCTAAAGCCTGTGACATTCTAAGTTAAACAGAATATTATAATTTAGAATTATTAGAAATATTTAAGTATTGAACATTAAAAATTCAGGACGAGATATTATTAAGCTGGAGAGGATTCAGAAGAGATTTATCAGGATGTTGCTGGTGTGGAAGATTTGTGTTGAATAAAGGCTGGATAGGCTGGAACTTTTTTCACTGGAGCATAGGAGGTTGGGAGGCAACCTTATAAAAGTTTATAAAATAATGAGGCGTTTGGATAGAGTTAATGGTAATTGTCTTTTCCCTAGGAGGGGGGTTTTCAAGACTGGGGGCACATTTTTAAGGTGAGGAGAGAGTTTTAAAAAAGACGTGAAGGGTAAGTTTTTTACAGAGGGTCGTTCGTGTGTGGAATAAACTTCCAGAGGAAGTGTTGGATATGTGTAGAGTTACAAAGTTTGAAAAACATTTAGGTAAGTAAATGAATAGGAAATGTTTGGAGGGATATGGGCCAGGAGCAGGCAGGTGGGATTAGTTTAGTTTGGGATCACGATCGGCATGGACTGGTTGGACCAAAGAGTCATACAACATGGAAATAGACCGTATGGCTCCAAGTAGTGATGGAGGCAGATTAAAAAAAAAGGAAGATATGGTAAAGGTAGGCAGTATGTGTGGACAGAAAAATGTTAATGTGGTCATCGACCTGAAAAGCTAATTCTGTTTCACTCTTCACACATGCTGTCTGACTTGCTGAGTATTTACAGCATTTTTTTAACTTTATCTCAGATTTCCAACATCTGTGGTACTTTGCTTTTGTGTAACTAGTGATGTTGAGCAGAGTCTAGCAGATTATTGCCTTACATAAATGGGTTAAGATAAATTTGTGACAACACAAAGCAAAAAACACCCCTGCAAATTCTAGATGGATGAAATAAAAACAGACAATTCTGTATATGCTGAGGCAGCATTGGTGAATGTTTCAGGTCAATGCTGGGATGTGAGAAATCAGGTAGTCACTGGTATATTGAGTTTATTTTCAACAAGATTATTTGGAAGAAACACATTGGATTAATGATCCAACACATTAATTTCCAAGATGGAGGTTCTGATGAAAGTTTGTTCATTTGAAGCATTAACTATATTTCTCTCTTCATAGGTACTGTTGAAACTGCTGCGTATTTCTGTTTTTAAAAATGACTGAATCTGTGGTTGCAGCATATTTAAACAATTTGTAAAATCTACTAAGTATGTATTGGGCAAATAGCAGGGTCTCATTAACAAGCTTTATTCTGTTTCCATGTAACATGGACATATTTTCCACCAGTGCCATGGTATCATAATTAGGAACTCCAGGCAACTTTCCAGAGATGCTGATGCCAACTGTAGCAGCCCTAAGTTGTGTTAAGGCTGAAATTACTTAATGCAGCACACTCCAGTGAATAAATATGGAACCTAGCACACTATTCTTTAGAACTGAGAACAAAGATTTTATAGTTGCAAATGGTTTCATAACCATTGATTTTCTTGCTTTATCCTAAGGTAATCTTTTTTGAGCTAATGTGAAAATAGAACGTGATTACACATGACTATCTGTAGGTTCTTGGTCAGTTATTTTGTTCTGATGTGAAGCAACTTGTTTTTGTAGCAACTTTGCTGTAATAAATTTTACGACAGCATAGGGCAAGGACAGACATCCTGCATGAATATTGGAAAATTGACTGAAAAGTTGACATGTAGGATTTCAGGTGAGTGGTTAATCATGCTGCTTTATTGTACAGGATTATTGTTCAATTCTAAAGTACTTTTCTTCAAACCAGTTTAACCTCTGTGTAACAGGACTTAAGTACAAATATTTTCCATTATAATTTCACTGATCAAAAGCTTAGGTTTGACTAGATTTGTTACTGCCATATATAAATCCTAATTCAAAGGCCTTGTTTCAAGCAGGTTTTGGAGAAGCATGTACAACGGATTTGAAAAAGGCATGCATCCTCGACAGTCTGTTACAGAATTCTTGATGGCTGTTAAGGAAGAAACTCAGCAGCTGGAAGATGAACTTGAAATACTGGAGGAGGTAATTTTTTTAAACTGATAAGTAACACAAGTAATCTACGTCAACAATGATGACACTTCAGATTTAGTTTAAATGTGGTTAGAGAGCAGAAGATAGTAGAGGGGGGAAAAAAATTGATTGGATAAAGGTAGTGTGCACTTTTCCATGGAATGGGATTGGAGCCATTCTTATTTAAGATAACAAAGGAACAGATGTCAAATTTCCTGATTGCATAAATTGTTTGAATGGGTAGTGGCAAATTCTGACAATGATTGTGAAAGACTGCAGATGGACATTGTTGGGCCAGGATAGGTCAATAGTGTGAAGTAAACAAAAAAGGAATAATGTATTTTGTAAATATAATATTTACACAACAGAAACAAGTTAGTATTTATGCTTCACTCTTTATGTAATGTGGTAATGCAGAAATTCAAAAGGCAAGCAATCCCCTGGAACAGATGGCCCACATCCTAGGTTCTAACAGAGCTGGGTCACGTGAAAGATTACCATCAGTTCATATTCTAATATTCCTAGTTCTATGGAGTGGTCCCAATGGATTGTAAGTTAGTAAGCATAATGCCATTTCAAGAAATGAGGGAGAAAGAAAACAGAGAATTACTAATCAGTTAGCCTGACATCCATTGAGGAAAACGCTGAAATCAAATACTAAGGAAGTGGTACTGTGGTTTAGAAAATCATTTAAAAGAAGAATTAACCTAGTAATTAAAAAAAAAATTGTTTGATTAGTCTGTTAGAGATAAAGGTGAGCCAATAGACATAACTTATTTGGGATGTTCAAAAGATGTTCAGTAAGGTGCTTCATAAAAGTTTGTTTTACAACATAAGGGCTCAGGGGAAGATATGCTAGTATGGTTTAAAAATTGGTTAAAGGATAGTAAAGCGAATAGAAGT